AATTTACTCTTCTTTTTATTGAGTAAGGGCTGCTCTGGTCATAATTATTCCCAGGAATGAGGACAGAAAAGAGAAAACTATTCCCTAGAAGTTTTGCCTGTCAGAAAGTGGGCAGAGAATTTCTGGCTAAATGAACAAAGAAAGAAAAAGTGGAGGGGAGGAGAAAAAAAGCACCCTCTTCTCCCCAGATAAAAGTACTACCTCAGAAGGCTCCACTAATTCCCTCATGGGAAAAGGAAGAAAGAGGTAGTGAAATATTTTTATTCTTATATTTAATTTTTTTTGTTCTGTCAACTGCAGATCCCTGGCTTGAAATATTTACTCTGTAATCTTCACCCTAGAATCCTAAAATGAGTGTACAGCACTGTGATGAGCCAAATTATTAATAAAAATCAGTGTTAATAACCCCTACTGTATTAATAACAATTTCTAAATTAATTCTTAAGAAGTCCATGAGAGAAGTAGAGCAGGTGAGTGTTACACTTGGGGTCTAAGCACTTTCCAAGATGTGAAGACCATTTCTGATATGAAGAGAGCCCACTGTCCTACCTGTAACAGCCACCTATCACTAGAACACACCTGTAGAGCTAAGGGAAGTGTTATGTGATAAGCAGGTTAATGCAAAATACATTCAGGTTATGAAAGAATGTTTCTAGAGAAATAATTTTCACTTTTAGAAAGAAAATTATTTTTTGAAATATTTTTTATTTTAAAAATATATAAACAGTTAATAGGACATTTTGAGAATCAATGTGATAGAATGAGGATAAGAGTAAAAACAGGTGTAATTTAAAAGATGTCAAGATATCTGAGAGGGTTTAACAAAACAACTACCTTTCTGAAGAGAAAAATACAGGCTGCAGTGAGTAAGTTATTTCAGAGAATGAAAGACTGGTCTGGAAATTGAAGACAAAGGTTAGTAGCAAGTGAAACACTTCAACATGGAGAACAACTTAGAGAACAACACTTCAACATAGCATTTGCAAGGTGACTATCATCTCTATCAGATACAGTTTTGTTCTCTTTATATATAGCAGTTCTAAAGGTAAAATGGTTAGATATCACTTTTGCTGCATGAAGAAAACCATGTGCAAAGAGATAAAAGCATGTTTAAAATAAGGAAGAAGTATGGATAAAGTACAAAAGAGTTTACAGAGTTCAGCGTGGAGATGTATATGGGAAAGAGACCTGGACAAATGAGAGACCTGGACAAATGAGACACATCATGGTCACAATCTGCTTGGACTGTGCTGGAGAACAATATGGGAGTATCTAAGTATCAAAAAGCAGCAAATCAGATAAAAAAAAAATTAAAAAAAAAATTACTAACTGACTATATCTAAGCTGTCAGGTAAACTTGCTGTCCTGGTCAAGACCATCCAGTCTGAGGGTGTGCTGGAGAGTGTGGTGGCTCTGGGCTACTTTGTCACCTATATTGCCCTCCTAAGGCCTTCAGTGATGGCCACCAGCCCCCAGGTCTTGCCCCCACATTCTACCAGGGAGACACTCTGTGCTAGTAGGTCACAAGATATCTTTAGATCTTTAGACATCCATATTATAGGTATCTGCCTCAGATCTATATTTTCCCTCTTTTTATTGTTACTGTGGAGAATGAAGAAAAAGTAGTCACTCTTTAAAGTGATTCTAAAGGAAGTCAAATAAATTGCACCCCAAAACCTAAGTCTAGCTCAGCTATTTCATGAAGAACAGCATAGCCTGGACCACAAGGTCAGGATGGGTCATGGTGTCCCCAAAGGATAGGTTTACTCCTAGATCTGATCTGCTCCCAGAGGTCTGGATTGTAAAATTACAAGTAGATCCAAAAGTGCAAGAAGGTCTGTTTCCAGGGCTGATTCTCTTTCCCAAGTCAGGAATAGCTGTCTCTAAGCAGAGCTTTATTTATGGACAATGCGGTTGCTGCTTCCCCTCCTGACATCCAGCCTTTTGCGATCTGCCCAGCAGATGTCCCCCGGCCACTGTGGGATGAGAACTCATGGATGGCAGAGATTTTTCTTTCTCTGTGTTGATTGGTCTCAGTAAATAACAAGCTTGAACTGGTCACTCAGAGCTGGAAACAGTCAATACGTAATCTTCTCCAGCCAATGGAAGAGGCATGCTGGGTCACTTGCAGTTCTTTCAGTTCTTTTTGAAGTGTCAAAAAGATGTTATAAGAACTGGTGTTGAAAAGTTTTCAATCACAAATAAATAATAGATGTGCCAGTGTTACAGCTGTGACCATTGTTCTACAGCTAGTCCTATGTATGCTAAAATGAGCATAATTTTTATTGAAATTTCACTACTGCACATGTTAACAGAATGCAACGCTAGCAAAAGCAACAAGACTTCTCATTATGATATTCTGTGTTCATACCTCGAATCCCTGTGGTCTTCCTAGACTTTCTTTACTATGTTTCCATGCAACAAGAATCTCTGATACAGACAAACTCGTAGCTTTGACATCGACGGGAGCAGCAGTGGGTTCTGTATTAAGAAAAATTGAAACAATAAACCTCCACTGTAACAACTTGTGTTTATCAAAAACACTCTATCTGAAACTGTCATTTACTTCTTTTATTCTACCTTAATACTCACAAGAAGGTATGACATTGTGGGGAACATGACAAATTGAACAAGATGAAGAGATTTTTATCCTTGCATTTCTTTATTTGTGTCATGCTATGTCAATATCTGATCAGTGATGATGGGCACAGCAAACTGACAGAATCTCTTGTCTAGAATTAAAAAAAAATATTTAATACTTGTAAACACTCCCTCCCCCCATATACCCCTTTCATACACCTTGATCAGTCTATCTTCAGCAATAAATGGAGCATTCATTATCTTCCTGGCTTTTTAGTGCCATTCTGTCAGCCCAGGATGAGTGATAACTTGGTGGGGTGCTCAGTCAACCCCACTCCAAGGTTATACCACGTAAGAAGTGATATTCAGAGCTGAAGTGAAATGCTACATAAAATAAATTTTTATGACTATGTTATGTCCTTGTAGTCACGGGTACCAGTGTTTGGGGCGTGCCATCTTCTCTCTGGTGTGAAGCATTTACTGTTCTAGTCCTGGGATGCACACTTCTCTAAAGAAGACATTAAGACCTAGGAATTCTCCCTCTGATTTCCTGTGTTGTTACCATTGGCCCTATGTCTGTGTTTTGATCTCCATGCTATGAAGACACTCTGCAGTCTTGACCTCCTGATTATCTGGAGCAGAGGACCCTTCCTGCCCTCCAACCAGAGCAGGTGTCCTTCAGTGCTACCGGGGTATGGCCATTGATGCACACTGAATGGTTTACATATCATGCCTGCCCAACAGTGTTGCCACAGGCATATTTTACTTTCATATCATTGAACACTTTACAAGGGTCCAACTTCTTTCAGTGGTTGGGAATTGGGTAAATGTACATAGAGATCTGCCATGACAAACCATTGAGAATACCACTAATTTGTGTCACCAGTTAACGCATTGGGAGTGAAGAGTATCCAAAAATTGTCACATATCAAACTGAGACATGTGTCAAGGGAATCTTTTGGATCTTTTTCTTTATTACCTAAATATTACTGAAAATTTGCTTAAGACAAGCTGTGGAGACAAGGCTTGAACACAGACAGTGAAGCACACAGCAGCAGCATTTCTCCACCATTCTGATGTAATTCATTTGCTCAGCAAAAAGGTGAATACATATTCCCCCACAGTTGCAGAGCCTGTGATTTCTTCCTTGCCCTAATGTTCCTCATTACACTTCTGTTGATCTGCTCTTGAAGGGCAGGCAAAGGTCTTGGCTTTTATGTTATAGGGAGGCACATCAAAGAGCTTTCTAAAGAATGGGTTTTGGGGGCTCGTTTAACAGGGTTACAGAAAAGGAATTTCTGAATTAAAATGGCACATTTTCTCAGTGATCAAGCTACCTTAGTAAGATGTCTAATATCAGTCTTGACTCATTAGCTACCCTCCCTTCTCTGATCATATCTCAGGCATTTTTCTGGCACTGCTGCTTTACACTTTTTCTCTAGCATGGCTTGTACAAATTTTTCATCCTTTTTGATGTTAGATTTTTAGTGTTTGCAGCTCTTTTGGACCTTCTTTTTTATTTACTTCTAAAGAAAAGAAGCATTTCTGATGTGATGCAACAATGAACATTACTATGAAATATATATAGAACTTTTCAGGTAACAAAGAATAAAAAAATACTCTCCAGGAAAATGTGAAATGATCTGAATTTGATACTGAAAGAATTGCGCTATGTGGAAATGTATTCCTCATAATATGATTTTCTGTTCAATAGTTACACCCTGCTTTCTATTTTATGTACTACTAAGATTTGTGAAGCAAAAGCTATCTTCTAGTTTTTGTATTATTGAAGCAATTACCTTGTTGTCAGAAAAGATTGCAGTGGGATAAATAATTTGAGATGTACACAAAATGTTGGTTGTCAGCCTTTACATTTTCTATAAATGTAGAAATCATTTCCTCTTCACTTCATAGTGTTCACTGGGGAGTGGTTTATGTATTGCTCAGAACAGAAACAAATAATATTTTCTGATATTTTTGAAAATTGTTTTCAACAAATGGAGTAGAAATAGTTTGAATTTTTTTTTTACATTTAGAGAATGCATTTCTTACATATCCAGAAAGTATTCACCGCAGTTTCACTGATATTAGACATTGAGAATGTAAGTGTTCAGCAAAAGAACAGAAATCATATATTTAGGAATTAAGTATATTATAGCTGTCTGAAAGTTTATGGAAACTAAGTAGCATTTTTTATTGATTCAGATAAGATGAGGACCATATAATTTCTGATAATATAATACAGTCTGTGGTTCACTCCAATGTCATACTTTATTCTGTGTGTCTAAAACTAATGATAAATTTGACAGGTTCATTAGGTTTTTCTATAATGGTCACTGATGTTATAATCATATTCTTTTCTTAGTATCTTGGCATTTTGCTAAACCTATTGGTGTCTGCCTGAGGTCATACTGATTGAAAAAAAAGGGCCACCGTCTTTAATGGTCCCTTTAATATTCCCTGTTTTAATTTAAGATGCAGCATGGCAAGTTCTCAAAAGGCTATGTGCAATGTCCACGAAACATTGTCTTTCCATGTGCTGCAATCACACTTTAAGGAAACATGTTCAATTTGTAGGTCTTTGGGATGGCTATAATAAAACAGAACAAGGAATTACACTAATTGCATTGATCTGAAGTTCACTCATCAGATTGAATCCTGAATTTTGAGACTGGCAAGTGAGAAAAAGAAGAGTTACTTACTAGCACTCATTGTGATCTCTCTATTATGACTGTAAACAGATTTTTTTTTTTTTTCCTGAAATAGTCAGCCTTAAAGGTTTCCACATGATTTTACTTAAAAAATAATAAAGTTAAAAAAAACCATAAAATTCCAAGGGCCTATTCATACTTGTGTTGTTTTAACTCTCATGTGGAACAGAGCCTTAGTCAGGACTCCTCATCCAATCACTTAATATCCATTCACTTCTCATTTCAACTCCAGAAAGGATTTTTACACAGTTCCCTAATTCAAAATCTGAGCTCTCATTTGAAGCTAAGAACCTCAGCCTGCGTAATTACATTGCGACTCCAGGCAGTTCCACATAGTTGAGATTTTGGGACTTCAGCCAGGACCCATGACTGGGATGATTCCTTTCTGTAGAAAAATCCACAAAAGAGAACTGTCAGATGGAAAAACATGAGGAGTTGTCCCTCTTGTGTCAACCTGTAGGTAAAGGAAGTGGTAGCATTTGTTCCTTTGCTGGAAATAATTACAGAGAGTATCTTCCAAATCAGGGGACCTCCAGTAAACTGTTTCAATTTCTGAGAAGAGCCAAGAGACATTATGCTCAACTCCACCTCTCAGCTTGTTTGGTGTGTGTCCGTGGTTTGGTGACTCCACCAGATCTGTGGTGGTATGGCTGCCTGCAGGATAAGGCTTTCTCCAGAATCTTGTGCTAGAAAGGGAAAACATGTCTGATTTCCAAAACACCAAGAATGAGATGACTGACTGCTTCCTCGGACTTCTCACTTTTCCTCAAGTCTTTTCTATTTTCACCTTCTCTCTGACCACTGTCTTTGGAGACAGCTTTAAAACAGAGAATAATTAAAAGGGTGAAGAAATGAGCTAGCAGTGAAGCAGTGATCAGACCTGCAGTGCTGATCTCTGCCCTGGACCTTTTATTTAGTGGTGAAACATCCTTACTTGTCGGTAGAGCTCCTGAAACTTAGTCCCATAATGCTGCTCTCCTTTGTGCTTGCTCATGGCATACCTCCTCCTGTGGCTTTCCCTTCTCCATGGCATAACCCAGATTTATTATACAGTGGAGTGTCACGTGGGAATAAGTAGCTGCCTTATTCCATTGAGGCTTTACCAGCATGTTACCTACACACAGTTTGCTTACCTTGGCACATGAGTAGAAATTGGACAAGTGGATTGATAAAGTTCAGGCTTTGTAGATTAAAAGTTCTGAGGAGTGCTGCCATCTTCATGAACATAAATGGTTCATTTCCACCAAGTGATGTGGCAACCATTTATCCTTAGCATGTGAGGAAGGGATGTTCCTATTATATTGATTACATATCTGGCTTACCAAGGGGGCTAGTCAAGGAATGCTTAGTAAACTCTTACATGTCAGGATTGTGATTTTGTTCTTTAAAAAATCAGTGAGGGCAACTGTAGCTGAACTTTTACAGGGTCGAATCCAGATGGATTTGCTGTCAGAAATGGGAAACAGTCCACTGTAGTTTACAGATAATATGCCAATTTATAAATTTTCAGATTCACCTAGGCCCCAAGTAACTCAGCTTTAGCTATGAAGTGAACCACAGGACTTCATTTCATGAATGTAAGATTTTAATTAAAGACATAGAAGCTGTATTTAAAAGTGTGTAATTGTATAGTTTTTCCTCTAAATGAAAAGGAAAGGTTAATTTATTCCTTTGTTTAAATAAGGGTTCAGGGTGAAAAGCAAGGGGAGATGGGCCTAACCAGAACAATCCTTTGTTCTTTAATGTCTTGTTTAATATCACATCATCCACTAACTAGCCTGATGCAAAACTTCTTAAAATTACGAAGAAACAAAATATATGGCCCTTAGACTTTCAGATAATTGTGAGCTTTGGTTCTCCATGGGATCAATGAATTAGTACAAAACCACACAAAGCAAGAACAAAATCTCTGTTCAGTATCTGTACATCTTGCATGTATTACAGAAGTGCATCTGGGGTCCCTCAGGAGGTTTTAAACAGCGAGACTGAGAGTTTTCAGGATTTACCATGTACCGCTCAGGGTTCTCTTTTTCATATCTAGAGGTTTTTAGTAGCATTCAGTACACTGTTTATCAAAATTATAGAACTTTCCATTTTTGTGAAGATAGTTTTGTCAGGTGCCTGAAGGAGAAGACTGATACTGAAACGAACAGAACTAATTCTGTATCTCCCATTGTGGCAAACATAAAA